AGCACAGGGCGAGGATGTGACGAGCAAAGGGAGCGGCCTTAATTTTATAGGGGAAGGTGATAAGGGTCCAATGGGCAAAGAAAAGGTGTGAGGGGGGGTTAGATTAATATGGAAAAGACAGAGGAGGAAACAAGGATGAGGGAAGGGTAAGCGGGGGGGCTGCGGGGCTGGGTGGGTGGGTGGCGGGCGGGCTCGAGATCGCGCGACTGATCGTTTCGTGGGGAGATTCCCCGAGCGCTGGGTGGGTGGAGATTGCGACGATTGATCCAATTCTCGGAGCATTTGGAGATTCCTCGAGATATTCTTATACCCCCATATACCCCATATACCCCCATATACCCCCATATACCTTCTGGACATCTCCATAGCAGTTTTTGACCCTCTTTCACATGGTCATGATCCCGTAGGTGCTGACCTCTCCGTTCGCCGAGATGGACCCGACGGAGATTCGGAGATGACCATCGCAGTACTGTTATTGCTGGGGACTGGAGACTGTGCTGAGCGGAGACTGTGCAGAGTCTCCAGTAACCAGTACAAATAGTACTGCTCTGCACAGTCTAGTAACCCAGTCATAATAGGAGTGCTCTGCACAGTCTCCAGTAACCACTAATAATAGGAGTGCTCTGCGCAGTCTCCAGTCCCCAGTCATAATAGTAGTGCTCTGCACAGTAAACCAGCAGCAGAGCTCTGCTGCACAGCCTCCAGTAACCAGTAATAATAGTACTGCTCTGCACAGTCTAGTAACCAGTCATAATAGTAGTGCTCTGCACAGTAACCAGCAGCAGCAGTACTATCACATGAACCCGTCTCTCTTTGGCGTGCATACCCCCGCGCGCTGCAGGAACTCGATCAACATGCTCGACAAGCTCAAACTCGAGCTCGTGCCGGCCGCTGGTGACAAGCTCGTGCTCAAGCTCTCTCCTCCGCCGCCGCCGCTTGCTGACAAGCAGGCGTGCTTGCGCGCACGTGACAATGCGCTCCCACCTGCAAGACCTAATCCTCCGGCCTTCTGGGTGACACAGGCGTCGCTGGCGGGCAACACGACCGTTAACGCTGCCGGAGGCGAGGCCGCCGGCATCCCGTCCGAGGGCAAGCCCGCTTCGCTCGAGGACGTCATCGGCAACGGCAATGACGTCCCGTCCGAGTCGGCGCCGACGGCTCCTGTCGGCATCACGTCGCTGTCGCCTTCGCTCCTCGGAGCCGAGGTGAGTGTGCGCACGCCAGGATTGTCATCATCCCTCTACGGTCTCCCTGTCTCCGCACACTTGCGTGTTCTCCCCTCACCCAGGCGTGCGGCATCAAGTCCGCCGCCGCCGAGGAGTCCGCCGCCAAGTCCGCCGCCGCCGAGGAGGACGCCGAGTCGGCCACCGCGGAGGCGACCGCCGAGGAGGCCGCCACCAAGAAGGCGACCACCGAGGAGGCAGCCGCCAAGTCCGCCACCGAGGGGGAGTCCGAGGAGGCAGCCACCGAGGAGTCCGCCGCCGAGGAGTCCGCCACTGAGGAGGCCGTCGTCGCCGAGGAGTCCGCCACCAAGTCTGCCGCCGCCGAGAAGTCCGCCACCAAGTCCGCCGCCGCCGAGGAGTCCGCCGCCAAGTCCGCCGCCGCCGAGAAGTCCGCCGCCAAGTCCGCCGCCGCCGAGGAGGCCGCCGCCAAGTCTGCCGCCGCCGAGGAGTCCGCCACCAAGTCCGCCGCCGCCGAGGAGTCCGCCACCAAGTCTGCCGCCGCCGAGAAGTCCGCCACCAAGTCCGCCGCCGCCGAGGAGTCCGCCGCCAAGTCCGCCGCCGCCGAGAAGTCCGCCGCCAAGTCCGCCGCCGCCGAGGAGGCCGCCGCCAAGTCCGCCGCCGCCGAGGAGTCCGCCACCAAGTCCGCCGCCGCCGAGGAGTCCGCTACCAAGTCCGCCGCCACCGA